GGTGTGGAGCCAGCCCCCCTTCCGGTGCAGACATCGCCTAAAACGTTGGTCTCACGTTGCCGGGCTTGGGGCCGCAAGTTGGGATGCTCTTTGGGTGGGGGCCCTGGGCCCCGCTCATTGCAGCTCTTACATGGGTGCCAGACTCGGCCCCGCGTGGGCCAGCAGCTTCTGTGACCTTCCACCCGGCCATTGCGAGACGTGGTGACACAGGGGGACGAGCCCTTTGAAGAAGAAGCGTCGGTTTCCCAGCGCCCCTCCTGCCCCTGGCCCGCTGTGCCCCTGGCTCTGGCCGCCTCCTCAGGCCTGCCCGGGGACCTGCGGCCTGCGGCCTGGGGCGTGTGCCTTTTCTCTGCTCCTGCCCCGGCCTGGTGGCTCCTGCAGTGTGTGATGGTCAGTGCTGAGTGGTGTCTGGGGGATGCAGCGACTGGCACTTCCACAGAGCCTAACGCATCAGCTCGCCCCAGCGAGGGCTCCGGGAGGGGCCGCTTGTCTTTCTCACTGTCCTCCCGTCCTGCCCGCGCCCCGCCCTCCGTGCCGGAGGAGCTGGCTGTGTTGTCATGCTTGTTTTTGTGCCCCAAGGAGCCACTTTCCTTGTAACTTTTGGAAACTCAGAGAAGTCAGAAACCATGGTTTGTCGTCTTTCCAACAACCAGAGGTAAGAGGCAGAATTGCTCAGCACCTGACAGCTCTGTCCCACGGAGCCCTCAGGTAACGGCGGGACACCCTGTTTACAGGTACCTGCTCCTGGATGGGGACAGCCACCACGAGATTGAAGTCACACACATCTCGACAGTGCAGATGCTCGCAGAAGGCTTCGCCGCTGCAGGTAAGCCCTGCCCCACTCCTGGGCAAGCTCCCCGAGCGCTCAGCCCAGCGAGGACTTTCCAACTCGACGTTTGGGCCTCAGCCGCGTCTTCCCCGGAGACCCCGTGACTCACCCACTTTGCCTTCTGTTTCTGGTGGCTCGTGCTCCTGCTTCTGCCTGCCCACCTTCCCGACTAGGAAAAGACAGTCACACTTACACCAGCCTCCCGGGGAACCAGCCTGCCTTGGAAGGTCAGCCTCGCTCTTCCCAGCATGCCGTGGGCCCCGTGCCCCTCCTCTGCGTCTGTCGGGGGGGTGGGGGGCATCATGCCAAGGGCCTCTGTGAAATGCTCCTTCACTCCTTTCAGTCAGCTTGAGAGGACTGGGTCCAGGACGTGGGCACCCAGAGCATGACTGGGAATATCCCAGTGGAGAAATGGATTTGCTGTCTTCCTAACCAAGGGAGAAATGTCACCCACTGTTCTACAACTCCTCACTGGTGCGGCTGCCCTGAGCAGGCTGAGTGCAGGGTGCTGGGGCGCAGGGTACGGCTGGCCGTTCAGCACCTTCCTGCCCGTCACAGCTGGCTCACTGGGCTCTTCCAGGGGCCTGTGTCCTTCCGGGCTCTCTGTCCCAGCTGAAGCAGAGCCAGGGCAGTGTGTCACCACCTGTCCCCTTGGTTGGCTGCTGCTGGCAGTCAAATATACCTTGGGGCAGAGGGTGGGGTCTGGAGAAGCTGGGTCAGCCCTCTGCCTGCTCCTTGGAGCCTGAGGCCAGGGAGGAGGTCAAGGCCACCACCCAGCTGCCTCCTGAAGCCTCTGGTCTTTCTCCTGGGCAGGGCCCTGGGGCTTCCAGCGCCACACGCCCCCCTGTGGTGGTTTAGGGAGCACAGTGAGCCCTGCTCTACCAAAAGTTGTCCTGGGACCTTAAATCCCCAACATTGTGTCCCCATGGGGTTGGGGCACTGGGACAGTTCCCTGAGCTGAGGGCAGCCAGAGGAGGGCCGCTGGCCTGTTGGGGGCCAAGTAGTAACTGTATTCGGCTTTGCTGGTCAGAGGAAATATTGCAAAGTGGGAAAGCAGGCCAAGGTAGGGACACATGGCCGTGGCCAGTAAAACTTGACTCACAGAAACAGTTGTGGGCGGAGCACGGGGGGAATCCTGTGTGCAGATGCGAGCCAGGCTGACCCGGAGGGCAGGAGAGGCTGTGGCAGGTTAGGCCAGGAGGCCTGGGCCTGGGGGATAGCACTTCACAGGTTGGGCAGGCCTCTCAGCCAGAGCCGCTCCCTCGGCTGGCCTGAGGCGCAGAGATGGGCTGATGCAAGGAGCCTTCTGAGAGGTGGGCTCCTGCTCAGGTGGAGCGTTCCTCCTGAGCCACCAAGGAAAAGCGTAGGCGGCGTTTACTGTGGGGCTGCCCTCCCCGCACCTTCTCTGGCTGTCGAGTGACTGAAGAGCCCTCTGTCCTAAGTGGTTGGCTCTCAGAGGTGTTGGAAGTGAGTCGTCACCAGTGGGGCCAGTGGGGGGCCCACTGGAGGCCCAGTGGAGCAGCTGGCCCCCCCAGAGCTAGGCAGTGTCCTAGCAGGCCGTCCCTCACGTGGCGTCTGGGGGAGCTCATGCCCTGGGCTGGTGACTGCTGCTGAGCCTTGCTCTCATGGTCCCCTCGGCTATGACGCTGCTTCTCAGTGGTGGGCAGCTGTGACCGCTGGCCTCTGCACTGGCGCAGGCAGGTGGGACTGGTGCTGAGCTTCCTTGTTGGCTTCCCAGGGGCAGGAACCCCCTGACCAGGAGATGCAGCATCTCTCTTGGCTCTCGGTGGCCTGGTGTGAGGTTTGTCCTGGACCCTGCAGGCCTCCAGGCCAGATGACTGACTCCCTTTCCCATCCTGTGAACTTGGGGTCATAGACCAGAAGGTGTTCACTGGGTGCCTCCTAAGCACAGGGCCCTGCCACTGCCTAGACCAGCACGAGGATTGGGAGCCACCCTGGCCACCACACCAGGGCTGGTGGCATCTGCGCCTGCTTACCTGTCGTCTTCCTCCAGGAGGCACCGCGCGGGCCACAGGCATGTCCCTGCAGTACTCGGCACCAGGATCTGAGGGCACAGCCCAGCTGAAGCTGACTGCAGGGGAAGATGCCAATGGCAGCAGGAGGCAGTCGATGGCGTGGCTGGCAGCCATGCACAAGGTACTGAGGCACAGGTGTGGTGGGCACGGGCAGGTAGGAGGCTGGGCCCTCCCACTGAGCAGGCCCACGTTCCCCAGGGCAAGACCTGCCTCCTCCCACCCAGCTGGGGGATACCCACCCCAGCTCTAACCAGGCGCAGAACCAGTCATATTTCTGTTCCTGGTTATCCTGCAGGCTGCCAAGCTCCTCTACGAATCTCGGGACCAGTAACTGCACGTGGGCCAGCCTGTCTGCTGCGAGCGGTGGAGCCTGCTCTCTGCTCACCCTCATCCCACGTGTGCTAGGAAGACAGCGCGAGACTTCAGAGAAACAGACGTGCTCGCTCACCTAGTGCGACGCACATGCCGTTTATTAACGCTCCAAACAGCTTCTGCTTCAGAGCCTGTCTTTTCTTGTTGATATTCACGTGGGTGGAGACCCAGCTACACTACTGCTAAACATTTTTAGCATAATCAATACCATGTTTCTGTGTGTCCAGGTTTACTAGGAGTTTCTGGCCCCTTGATGTTCGTTTCATTAATTCCTTCACAGGGATGACGTGGGCAGTGGGGGCCCGGGAGGCTTTGCCACGGCACTAACTAGGGGCTACACACAAACCCTTACACGTCACCACGGGGCGAGCCAGCGTTCCCTTTTGTACTTCTCACTCTTTCACTTTATTAAGGTAATTGTATAACACTTTGTATATGAAGCTTGATTAAACCCTATTTTGAAAACACGATTAGGCCTCGCTTCCATGTGTCCAGATCACTGACCGTCCGCAGTTCTTTTCTGGCCCCAGAAACACGATGCGCAACCACAGTGAGGGACAGGGTTTATTGTGCACATTTACATGGCATCGCAGGTGAGGCGGCGTCTCCCGGCAGAGGCTGCCCCACTGTGTTCGCTGTTCATCACCAAACATGTACAGTCGGTGCTTAAAGGGGGCCAACTACAGCAACGGATCTATACACGCATTTGTACATAAATTATACAGACTCGTACATGGAAAATAAAGCCTAAGGGCCTGGACTTTAATGTGAGAAAAAACATTTCCAATGTCATCCTGGAGTTTCAAATGGTCTCATCAAAAAATACTTTTGGTATAAAAGCCTGTACGCACAGCTGACCTCAGTGGAGGGCCATCGTCTCGTTCCGTCTGGCACTGGGCCGAGGTCCTATATCACGGCTGGCTCCACCCCCTACCCCTCCTGATGTCCCTGCCACTCAAAGGACCAACTGCAGGCTCCCTGGCCTGTGGGCTGCAGGGTTTGACTGCACTTGAACAGTATCTGTGTTGTGTGGGGTAAGAGCCACACCTGGGCAGCGAGAGGCTGAAGAGAAGGCAGTTGTGAGTAAAGGAGGGGACAGCTGTGCACAAGCTCCTGGCTGTGGGTCACTGGACTAAGGGCCCCCATGCCCAGGGAATCAGGAGTCAAGCCCAGCACCACTAGCCAGAACAGGAAGTGGAGCCCCCGTGTCAGGACCACCACTGGACAGGAGTTTCCCCATGGACTCCTTTGGTAATGAAGAAACGGGTGCCGAGGGGCAGGATGGCGGGTTCTGAGACGTCAGTAACGGATGGGCAGGGCGCTAGCGGGAGTGCCCCTCACAGTGGCTGGGAGTTCCACTGTTGGGGAGGGTGGCACAGAGAATGGGGTGGCCTTGGGGCCAAGTCAGTCAGATCCTTTGTCTGTATTGGCAACCAACCAGGGGTTAAGTCTAGGGCTTCTATTGGCAACAGGCGGTTTAGAAAGCTGGGTATTTATTTGGATTTACAGTAATTGGCAAAATTCAGTCCTCTTGGAGGCAACAGTGGAGACATAGCCTCACCTGGAACCTGCGGGATTTCACATTGTGGGCGCTGTCTGCTGCAGTGAGCACCATTAAAGACACTTCCAACTTCCGCGTCCCAGGCAACAGCAGGGTGACCTCAGTGGCTCCTTGGCAAGGGCCAGCCCCATAGGGTGCTCTGGCAGAGGCTCAGGCAAGCGTTCGCTGTCGGGGCTTGATCCGAGGGTACAGCTGCAAAGCAGTGACAACACATTAGACAAGGAGAGGACACGAGGGGCCAGGTACCAGCTCACCGTCAGCCTCCCAGGAGACCCGCCCTGACGCCCTGAATACCTGCACCAACCCCCACCCTGGTCCATGACCCCTCTCACAGCACTAGGTGTCACCTACAGCACGTCACTGGCTGTACCCCAGGGCAGGTGCCTGGCCAGGAGAGATGTGCATGAATGTTTAGGGAAGCATCGCCAGCCCTGCCACGGGGCTGCTCTGCCACAGGACTGATGTGATCACATGACATAGGTGGCAACCTGCAGGCTTGTGCCCCCACCCCAGTAAGAAAATCTCTGGGCTCCACAGAGTTCTGATGGGTGAGTCTGGGTGCTCGCTGAAGTTCCCCACGAGGAAAACGCAATGAGCGGCCTGGACTGGATGCATGGGCCTCCTCATAGGGTGGCTCCGCAAACATGCCCATTGCAGAGAGAGCTGAGGTGTAGGGAAAGGCAGTCCCCACCTGCGGTCTCCCAGTAGGACGTGGCCCCACACTCTGCCCAGTGTGCCAACAGCTGACTTACAGACATGCTCGGGAGTGGAGCTGTAGCAGCTGAGTCCGATCCCGGAACGAAAGCTCAGAGCACTCACCCCCAGCAGTGTTTTGGGCACATAGCCCTCCTGGTCCCCGAGGCGCGCCCACCACCACTCCGTCTCGTTCTCATCCTTGCGCCTCAGGACGGTGATGGCGTCTCCTTCGTGGAAGGACAGCTCGTCGCTGTTCTGGGCCTCGTAGCCCCACAGGGCATAGACCACTCCCTTGTTCATCACACCCAGCTTCTCCTGCACCCCTGGGACAGGACAGCCAATGGTCAGGTCTCCTCAGAGGGCAGGCTGCCAAGAGCCCCACCGTGGGACCAAACCAGACACACCGCTGCTGTCGGGTGGCCAAGCGATGCCGAGGGCTGAGAGGTGGGAGCCTGGCCCAACTGTTGCCCTTTGCTTATGCCAACTGTCCCTCCTGTGCCCCAGCAGGGGGGCACTGCTGCTGAGGTTCTGAGTCCAGAGACAAAGGTATGTTGTTCTAAAGGCATTTCTTAGGGTGAAACTTACAACTCACATCTAGAACAGACTTCCAGAGGTCGGTGACTAAAGAGGTAGTGTGACTGCCCTTGGCAGTGAGGGAACAAGTCCATACCCAGAGTCACCTGTGGGGACCCCAAGAAAGGCCCGATATGACCTGGGTACCTTCTTCCTCCTAATGCACCACACGGGCCTCTCGGCTGGCCTCTGCCTCTGTACTGGGAGCTGGGGCCTGGCAGGAGGGGCATGTTTCAGGTGATCACTTTGCCACCAGAGTCTAATGTGGGGCTGGTCCCACAGGTTTTCCTCAGGTGTGGAACGGATGGCCTGTAACCGGTTTACCTCATACAGAGATGTTCCAACTCTTGGAAAGACTGACCTGGACGAAGCAGCTTAAGACAGGACAGGCTCCATTCATCAGTGAAGGAACTTGTGTGTTTAGCCACCTGGCACAGAATTCTCCTGCTACACAGACTTTCAGACACGTCTCGGGAGTGAGCCTAAGGGACAGTGTGGCCTCCCTCTACTAGACTTACCAGGCTGCCCTGAACTTAGGCTTGGGCATCTCCCAGCCCAGGGGCAGCACGAGGCGTGTCCCCACTGCAGCCCAGGAGAGGCCCCAGGGCCCCACGTACCGTACAGAAACTGGGAGCACTGGATGTAGCCCTCCTCCATCTCTTCACACTTGTCTGCGGCGGTTTCAATGTCGCTGATGGTTGAGGCAAAAATGGCAGCACCACTCTCCACCAGCTGTTTGCAGAGGTGGACGCTGTTGCAAGAGGCAGCGCAGTGCAGTGGCGTCCTGCAAGGGGTGGGAGGTGAAGGTGCTGCCTGGCTCCTGGAGGCGCAGGGCCCTGGGAATGCTGAGCCTCAGTGCCAGCACCTCCTGTATTATCTTTTTAGTGGTGTGATTTCTACTAACAAACTGTCCTGGACTTAGCATAAACCCCTGAAGCAGGGCAAGGCAGGGCAGGGCCTGAGGAATGGCCTATAAGATAGATGCAGACAGCTGCCTGAAGTTGACAATAACAGCTTCGGGAGGCGGGGCTGACATAGCAGCACAGGGTCCTGCAGCAAGGATCCAGCCACTTAAAAATGGACAACAGTGAGTCACAACTGCAGAACGCTTGGCAGGCTTACCATGTTAATAATCAGGTGTACAAAAGCGAACTGCAGCCCTGGCCCATGTGGCACAGTGGGCTGGGCATCTTCTGAGAGGTCGCTGGTTTGATTCCCAGTCAGGGCACATGCCCTGGTTTCGGGCTCCATTCCCAGCAGGGGGTGTGCAGGGGGCAGCCAATCACTGTTTCTCTCTCATCTATGTTTCTCTCTCTCCACCCCCTTCCTCTCTAAAAAAATCAGTAAAAACATTTAAAAAAAAAAAAGAGCAAACCACAGCTGTGCCTTTAACAATGTCCTCTAGAGAAGAGGGCTGGGGGTATGCCGAGCAGCACAGGACGGAAGGCACCGTGGTCCCCTTCACTCCTATACCGCCTCCCCACTCCCTGTGTGCTGACTCCCGGCTTCCCTTCTGCACCACGGGCAGTGGCTCACCAGCCATCGCTGTCAGCAGCATTCACATTGACACCAAAGTCCAGGAGGAACCTCACAATGTGGTGGTGGCCGGCACAGACGGCGTTGTGGAGTGGGGTGATCCCTTCATCATTGGGCTTGCTGGGGTCTTCCACCTGGGACAGAGGGTGTATGAGCTCCGCTCTGCACTTACTGGGGTGTGCAGGGAGGCGGCTCCGCTCAGCTCACCTCGTAGATGATCCTCTGCACCAGGTCAAACTCTCCCTCCAGGGATGCGTCCAGGAGCAGTGCCAGGGGGTTGAAGCGGACACGCAGCCCACGGCCCGAGCGCTCAGAGTTAGGCTTCTTCAGGTTGGTCCGTTTGCTCTGTGAGGAGGAAGCAGATTAATTTTATTTATTATTTATTTATTTATTAAAATAGAGAAAGCAGATTTAAAGATGACCCACCCACGAGCCAGGTGGGTGACATTAGGTTTCTTAACTGCTTCCACCCCTGGAGTGGGCAGCTCCTTCCAACCAGCTCTGCTCCATCAACACTGACCTCCCGCCAGAAGCCTCTGTCTAGAAGGTTCTCCCCCTCCCTCGCTGCCTCCCTCCAAGTTCCAGTGGGAGCTTCCCCTCTTTGCTGGGTCCTCCAGTACTTGTAGCCCTGTACTGTCCTTCAGAGCCCACCTGTGCTGAGCCACTGTCCCCTGGGCCTGACTCACTAAGGGCAGGGACCAGTCTGCCAAGCCCTACCATGCCCAACCCATGGCTGGGTCCTTACAGGCACAGGGTGGCCCTGACCAAGGACCACACCCACCGTAGAGGCTGCCAGCGGCGGCACAACGGGCGGAAGTGATGGGGACACTTGCTCTTCCCCTGGAGAGGGGGCCTCGGCCCCAGGACTGGGGGCCTGCTGCGTGGATGGGGCTGTGGCCACATTGTTGTTGTTGTCCTCGGCAGGCTCTGATGTTTGGTGGATGGTTTGGGGACAGATGAGCCCCTCTGGCTCAGGGGAAGGGAGCTCGTTGTCGTTGGCATCCGAGGCAGGGGTGGGCTCAGCGGGGAGCGGGACTGTGGGCTGGGCTGGGCTGGCCTCCCCCAGGTTCCCATTGGTGTTGGTGTTCCCATTGTCCATGTCGGCCAGGGTGCCTGCGAGGTCCTGTGAAGGGATGGGCTGGTAGAAAGGGGTGCCCTCCATGCCGCCGGCCAGGGTGTTGAAGCGCTGGTAGAGCAGCTTCTGGATGTTGGGCCCTCCGGGGCCCTCAGGCTCTGTGATGGAGCTGCGCTTCTTCAGGGGCCGGGGCGCGTTGGCCAGCTTCCTGCGCAGGGCCTCCAGGTCAGCATCGCTCTGGTAGCGCAGTGGTGAGTGCACGATGGGCGTGAGCTTGGTGGGGCTGAGCGGCCGGGGCAGGCTCTCCATGGTGCCCGTGGTGCCCTCCCCGGGCGGGGCCGGGCTGTCAGGCTCAGGCTCCTTCTCAGCACTTTCGGCCGGTGGCTGGGGCTGCGAGGCGCTTGTGGCCAGCGGCCCATGAAGAAATGGCAGCGGTGACGGGGACGTGGAGCCGGACGGTAAAACGGGTTTCCCATACACTGGAGGAGAGAGGACAGGCCCGTCAGCACCCTGCAGGCTACAGCTGATTGCAGCCCTAGTACAGAGACAGGCGGCTGGTGAACCCTAATTTTTAAAAATGTTATTACTTTTTAATCCTCACCCAGGGACATGCTTTTTAAATTTATTTTTAGAGAGAGAAAGGGGAGGGAGAGAAAAACATCGACATGGGAGAGAAACATCGATCGGCTGCCTCCTGCACACGCCCCAACCGAGGCTTGAACCTGGAACCTGGGGATGTGCCGACTGGGAATCAAACCGCGGCCCTCGGTGAACAGGACAATCCAACCAGCAGGGCTCCACTGCAGGACAGGGGCCTGGAGTTAAACCCAAATGGGCCTCTGCTCAAGGACCCTCACAGACCCCTACGGAAGACAGCGTATCCAACTTCTCAGTGTTTACCTCTGGGATTCCATAACTAGGGCTTCTATAAATGAACATTTAAAACAGCTGCGGACCGACTTCCCCGCCCCAAACAAGCCATCCCTGTTTTTTGGTGAAGGAAAAAGAGGTCCCCTCTGAGCACACATCTGACCCTCGTACTGAGCAGAGGGGAAGGAAGCACAGCTGCCTGAGACGGGAAGGTCCGCCTGCTGGCCCAGGAGCTCTAGAGAAGGGTCAGCCTCTCCCAGGTCACAGGTCAGTGCACTCCCTCTGCCTCGCAGGTCTCTGGGCATGGGGTGGCCCAGGAATCCCTCAACTACACGTCTGGAACTTAAGCCCACGGCTTTTCTCCCAAGCGGGCTCTGGTGAAGGCGCCCAAAGCAGCAGACACCCCCTTGCACTGCTGTCCCAGGGGTCCAGCTCTGCAACAGCAAGAGGTGGGGACCAGATCCAGGCAGAGCCCCACAGGCCAGGTCCATGGTGAGTTACTGCACAAGTTACCACAAAGCCAGAGAAAGAGAGGACTCTCCAAAACCTCACCCTTCCCAGAGCTGGAGTCCTGAGTGAGGCAGGGAGGTGGGAGCTCAGATGGGAAGTCAGCTGTGATCACCCACCTGCATTTCACCCCCATCTCATGTGACACGCAAGGCCGTGTGAGATGACCAAGTAAACCCTAAAGAGCAAGCGGCCCAACGTAAGAGTGCAGGCTGGCATTTCCTTAAGCAAAAATGTAACTTCCTGGCCCCAAGAGGAGAGCACGAGCCCACTGTACCTGCTTTAACCGACTTATTCAGGGCGCCATGTGTGGCTGGCTGGTGGTTCTTGGGTGGCGTGGCCTGCTGGAGGTACATGGAGTAGATGGAGCTTGAATTCACGGTCTGGGGCCCTTTCCTGGGGGACTGTGGCCGCGAGCCTTTATCAGCCAGGAAGGGCCTGATGGCCACAGTCAGTGGGAGCTCGGGTTTGGCGTCTCCAGCTGGAAACGCAGGTGGCCCCGCAGGTGGGTACGTGGGACTCGGCGGCACGGAGATCCTCTGCTGGATCTGCTGGGAGGAGCCCGGAGGATGGGTACCGCCCACGGAGGGCAGTGGGCCAGGCTTCTGCCGACTGGACAGGCCTGCGCTGGGCCTGGGCAAGCTGCCCTCCTTCCTCCTTTCCAGGGAGTTTGTCGAGCCTGGACCCACAGGTGCAGGACTTGGGTATGTCCCGTAGCTTGGAGGCAGCGGCTTGCCGACACCAGGGACGGGGGGTGGCATTTTACCCATCTCGATGCCCTAAATTTGGATGTTAAGAAAAGCAAAGACATCCTCTGAAAAGTTAAGCAGATTCCCATTCACAGCTTCATGAGAATACAAAGTAGGACTTATAATCCTTCAAATCGGCTGTGGGCAGGCACAGGGCTCCCTGGGGATCAAGCACAGTGGGGCTATCAACTGTCTGGGATAGAATCACCTTGACTGAAGACCTTGACATTGGCACATTGTGCGGGTGCCTAGGGCCATGAACTCCTTCAGACTGGGTATAATTTGGACACTAATGAGAGTAATTTGCCTCATGACACCTGCTACCCTTGAAGACGGGGGTGGAACAGTGACAGATTAGGAGCTTGTCTGAGTCCCAGGGATCGCAACACACAGCCTACCAGCTTCTCCATGGCTCCCAGCGCTGACAGGGGCACCGGCTGGCTGGAGACTGTCCCCTGCTTAAGGGGCCCCTCCATGCCCGAATCCTTCCAGTCCACACTGGCGATTGGCGTTGTTTTCACTGAAGAGCTCACATTCTGTTTCAGTGTTGGCCAGTTTCCATCATTAGCTTGAAAAGAACATAGAGTTTAAGTAAATTTTTCTTTAAATTAGATGAGCTAGCATAAGAGTAACCCCATCAGAAATCACTTTTGGTGACCTCACATTCTGCTTGAGCCGCTGACCACCCCTCCCGCACACGAGCTTGCACACGGCAGGACCGAGGGCGGCCTCTGCTGGCCAGGCCTCACCAGCGCCCGTGTGGCTCTCAGCAAACTCCAGCGAAGACCCAGCCAGCCAGGGACGTCCTTAGCCCTCATTTAAATACAGGCCAAACCCATTACATCAACACTAATAAACAAAACAAGCACTGGTACTTCCTGTTCAAACACTACGTGAAATACATTTATATACAGCAATAGAAATTTTTCTTTTGACTGCGTAACAGGTTTGATCTGTACTGCTTCCAGTGTTAAAAGAAAAATTCAACTTTCATCTGTTAGGAATTTCTATGATCTAAGATAACGCGTGACCGCAGGCGGCCATGCTGCCCCGCTGATTGGAGAGGCAGGCTACATTCCACGGCAGTGATCAGAAAGCAGCCAAGCCCGAGTTTTCAGAAAGGCACAGAGAAGCTACGTTTTACAGAGCATTTTCCAAACTAAAAAGGGTCCCCAGCTCACTCATATCGGGTGGGCCAGGTTCCAGCTCTGACTCCAGTGCATCTCTCTCTGCACAGGGGCTGCATTGGATGAAGTGGGAATGCCCCAGCCCTCGGCTATATGGGGGGGGGGGTAAGAGAGCCACAGGGACTGTCTAGGCCCTGACAAGAGTACACCCTCCTCCCTTGTCCCTCCGGCCAGCGCAGCAGGTGGGCACGACTGAGGAGCAGTAGGGAACTCTCTTCCTCGCCATGACAGCATGGAAGCCAAAGCCTGTGACTCTCAGGCAGGACCACTGGCTCTCACAGCGCTCTGGGCAGACCTGGGCAGACCTGAGGCCACACCATGTGCTGGAGGAGCTGAGCCTCTGCGCGCCTGGCTGGGCCCTGTCGGCTGCAGCCGACAAGTGCCACACCCCTCCTGCAGCAGCACTGCCACCCCTGCACCCCCCCACCACTGCTATGTTACTGCCCTGCTGGAAATCACCCTGGCTCCAGGCGGCAGGGCTCCACAAGGCTGTAGACACTCTGCAAGGGCCCTGCTGAGGCAGTCTAGGCCCCAAGTCACCATGCTTCGTGTGGCCGTCAGCCTACTCCAGGCCAGAGTGCTTTTCTTTCTTCACCCTATACCTGAGGCGAGGGCCAGAACAACAGCTTCACAGGGAGGCTCTGAGGTGAAAGCTCGGTTGATGGGAAAGAGTCCCCTGCACTCTCTGGCCACGGGCATGGACTTCGCCTGTCCTCTCTTGAGGTCATGGGGAATGTGGCCATCCAGCAGCTCCTGAAATCCCATTACAACCAGAGATTTTATGGAAACCGGCCACAGAAGAACTAAGAAGGGACTAGGAACTTACTTTCTTCAGTATGAGGCAGAAGGTATAGAAGGAAGATGATTTATTATAAAGGGACAGTTATCTTCAAGTATGACGGGAAATTCTTGTACTGAAGATAAAATGAAAAGCCTCACAATGAACTTAGGAAATCATCTTAATTTGGTAAAAAGAAAACCCTGCTGTGCCAGCTTCACTCAAACCCTTACTGAGTATGACCTGGTGCGAGGCCAGCCCAAACCTCATGCCTGTCGCTGAAGGAAGGGACAGACTATGTTTACGTGGCATCTCTAAGTCTAGATGCAATGAGCAGACCTTTCTCAGATTGGAAAGAGAGCGGTTGTCGGCTGAGCCGTATTAAGAAGGACAGAGCCCCCGCCAGGCCTGCTGCCAATGTACGGTTTGTCAGTTGGTCTGCAGTGTGTCGTGCGGAGCCCCAGTCAGGCCCAATGTAGAGGTCAGACACTGTCCATGAGCAGGTCACTCTGGGCCTACTGTGGCCATCTGTGGGAGCCAGGACCAGAACAGCCACAGCATGGGTTAGTGTCCCCACTGAGGAGATTTCTTTCCCCATGTCCACAGCTGGGCCAAGATTCTGCCACGTGTGGGGTGGCCCAGGTGTCCTGTGCTATCACCTTGCAGCACAGTGGAGGGACCAAGGACACAGTCTTGGGGTCCTGTGAGGTTGTCTTCTCTTTGCACCCCTGAGAGGGGCCTAGCACACTCCTACAGAGAAGAGGGTGTGGGGGATGTGCCCAGCTGGGAAGGGTTAACAAAGAGGGTGGCACAGGAGAGGAGCGCTGAGCTAACTTAGCTGCTAATGCAAACAGGCGAGTAACTGCTCCCATTGCAGAATGGTTCAAGCTATAAATAACATCTTATCCAGGAAGGCTGCACTTAGAGGCTCATGCAGACCAGACAGCCTGTACGCTGCAGACACTTGGCAGAGAGCTGAGGCTGGGACACCTCCTCCCTCGGGGTCAGACCAAGCCCGAGCCCCACAGCAGGAGCAGCAGAGGTGGCTGTTTCAGAGCAGGTGCCGGCAAGAAAACATGAAGCCAGCAAACAAAAGACTACACAAGCCTACTGACAATCCTAAAAACGTCCTACACACAGGCCTGACACAGGCCAGTCTGCAGGACTGTGAGTGAAGGGATGCTGCAGTGTTCAGACCTGCACTCTGTGGGGAGGGTTTTCAGGCACTGCGTCCACCCCAGTCACAAGGACAGTCCTCCTGCCAAGGAGCACTGGCTCTCGTGCATTGGTTTAAGGCCAGCTGCTTTCCTCCGAGGAAGGAGGCCAGAGTCTCCATGGAGAGGCCACCGCCCTTGGCCAGGAAGCAGGGGCACCCAGGCCCTCCATCAGGACAGCTGTGCACAGCATGGTGCTGGGGCCCAGGCTGGTCACACCACATGCTTCAGTGGCCAAGGGCCAAAGTGGTGGTCTGTGGACTTTTTGACTGATTAAGGCCACGCTGAGTGGGGAAAGGAGAGACCAGTCAGAGTGCTTTGTTTATGGGATGGTCACTATGATAGAACACAGCTCCCAAAGGTGCCCCAGATGACAGGGTGCCTCAGGGGAGACTGAGGGTGCACACAGCAGTCCTCTCCGAGGACACTGCTCCCACGGCTCTCCTTCCTGCTCTCTCCCCCAGGAAGAGGGCCCGGCCACTTACCAGGTTTGGACCTTCCATGGGCAGCCCCTGAAGCCACAGTGAGAGACTGGGGCTTTATGGGGTCCCCCGGGGCTGGGTAGCTGCCAGCACTGGGGACCTGGATGTAAGGTCCCACAGCAGCAACCCTGCCAGGTGTGCTCAGTGGTGACTGTGGCGATGACGCGCCATTCACACGGCTCAGCTGCAAAACGGGAAGAAATGAGAGTTAACATTCTCCTAGGTTTGAGCTGCTCACTCACTAATTTGAACCGAGGTGGCTCCATCAACCTGGAACATGAGTGTATAGGAGGGGCGAGACTTCAAGGAGGGCCTTGAGCCCAGCTGGACATGGCTCAGCGGTGAGCGTCGACCTAGGATCCAGGCGCTCAGGGTTCGATTCCCAGTCAGGGCACATGCCTAGGTTGCGGGCTCGATCCCCAGTTGGGGGCCCGCAGAAGGTAGCCAATCAATGACTCTCTCATCATTGATGTTTCTTTTTTTGTTTTTTTTAAAAAAAAATATCTTTATTGATTTCAGAGAGAGGAAAGGAGAGGGAGAGAGATAGAAACATCAATGATGAGAGAGTCGTTGATCGAGCCCACAACCCGGGCATGTGCCCTGACCGGGAATCGAACCCCGATTGCCTGGATCCTAGGTCGACGCTCAACCGCTGAGCCATGCCCGGCTGGGCTCTCATCATTGATGTTTCTCTCTCTCTCTCTCCCCCTCTCCTTTCCTCTCTCTGAAATCAATAAAGGTATCTTTTTAAAAAAAGGAGGGCCTCGACCCACAGTCCCTATGAGTGATCCTCTCTGATAACATCTATGATCTGGGAGCTACATACACAACAGGACTGCTTCCCAGGACACCTGCACCTATGTAACCCTCTCACTTGGGGGACATTCTCCTCCCACAGTGGAGAAGGGACAGCCTACAGAGCAGACAGAAGGCGAGGGCAGCCCAGGGCTCCCACAGGGTGGGGTTCTGACTCCATGCACCAGAAAACAGATGCCTCTTTGGGAAAGAGAACTTCCTTCTACTGCCTATTTTATGGTTTATGGCCAATTTATGTTTTACCACCTGGGTAGATAGGGAAGTGCCATTATGGTGAAGATGTGTAATTTTGGGTTGAACCATCTGTAGTAGCTTATCTCACAGAAACACGTTCTTTCCCACGTGCCTGGATTTTCTTCCCATACAGACGCTCACGCAGCTCGCCAATACGCTTGTCCATCATAGCCACCTCCATGTTGCGCTTATTTAAAAGTTCCTTCTGCTGCTGGAGTTTTGAATTCTGTTCTTGGTTAAGCTGGTTACGAATCTGCAAAATAGAAAACACAACTTTTATGATTTGCATTAATTAAATGGTGAAACTGTCATTGCCTGGGAGATTAAAAACAAAGAAAAAGTTCCCCGGCCAGTTCCGCTCAGTGGTTAGAGAGTTGGCCCATGGAATGAAGGGTCCTGGGTTCAATTCCAGCCAAGGGTACGTACCTTGATTGCAGGCTCAGGGCAAAGGACATGTGTGGGAGGCAACCAATTGATGTCTCTCTCACATTGATGTTTCTCCCCCCCCCCCTCTCTCTCTGAAAAGCAATGAAAAAACATCCTCAGGTGAGGATTAAAAAAATAAAAATAAATAAGGTAACTGAGTTCCTACGTGTATCAACATATGCGCATTGTTGCCTGTGCACTAAACATTCACAGGTACAGCACAGATAAAGCAGAAGGACTTCTTATGGAACCAAAACAGAGCAAACCTCTGCAACACATGCCCTCCTCTAAGTGCACAGAATGATGGGACCAGTGATGACCGGGGGACCATGACTGTCGTCCTCGGGAATGGCACTTTAGTGACAAGTGCCCTGAACGTGTCCTCTGGGGACCTAAGGAGAGGCGTCTGTCTGCTCCACCCCACAGTCCACTGCATGAGGCACCTCACTGCAGAGGCAGCGGGAAATTCACCCAACGATGTTCTATCATTTTAGTGAGTTGCAGACAGCACTGTAGAAAAATGAGAGACTGGAAAACAGGGCGGTGCTCACAAAATACAAGTCCTGTCATGCTCAACTCCACATGCACATGGGCACCAACACACACACACATACACACACAGCATGTGTGTACTAGACAGGGAACATGCTTCTTAACCTAGACTTGCAGTAAACAAGTTGGAAATAAACAAATATAAATATAGTCCATTCATCACATCTCACCAAAAAAATCCTTAAAACCCTCCACTTTTAACAACTGCTTAAAATGTTGAAAGTCATAAATTTTTATATTTTATGTTAGGGAACTTAACAGCAACAAAAAGTGATTTTACTCTCTGTAATTAAATGTTCTCATTTCATAAAATGATATTTTTCTACCAAGTGCTAACAAAATTGCAAAACTTGCTTCTGGCTTGAAGTGCTAACAAAATTGCAAAACTTGCTTCTGGCTTCAAACAGGACCTGCTGACGCCGGAGAAATGGAAGTCTAGAGGACTCCAATGGCCTGAATGTCTGTGTCCTAAAATTTACATGTTGAAGCCTCACCCTCAGTGGTACTTGGAGGTGAGGCCTTTGGGAGGTAATGTGACTCAGATGAGGTCGTGAGGATGGAACCCCGTGATGGGGCTCTTCTGTAAGTGTCCTTATAAGAAGAGGGAGAGAGATGGGAGCTGGGAGGACACAGAGAAGGTAGCTATCTACAAGCCAGGAAGCAGACCCCTCCACAAACCGAACCTGCCAGCACCTGATCTTGGACTTCTGGCCTCCAGGACTGTGAGACACAAGTGTCTGTAGTTGAGTGCCAAAGTCTATAGTATTTTGTTTCAGCAGGTCAAGCTGAGACAAGGACTGAACAACAGAGGAGTTTACACAGACACCTTAAAGATCACCTAAAGCTTAACTCTTTACTAGTTCATTACATTGCCAGTTAAATTCTGCACTGAACCTTTGTACTGAAAACGCTACGTGGCAGACACCAGTCACAAAGAAAGACACACTGCATGAACCTGTACATGTGAAGTACCCAAAACAGGCAAAGCTACAGAGGCAGAGAGAAGATCTGTGACTGCTCAGGGCTGGGGGACAGGGCTTCTGAGGGGATGGCTAAAAGGTGTGCGGTTTCTGTTGGGGGTGAAGATGTCCTATAACTGACTGTGGTGGCAGGTGCAGAACTCTGTGAAGTTGCTAAAAACCACTAAATTGTACTTCATATAGGTAAACTGTATGTGATATGAATTACATCTCAAAGCTGTTTTAAAGATTCCTTTGCACTGACTACATCTGTGTTGCTATTACGTTAGAATCCGTTAGCTTGTCCCCAACACCCAAGGTTTCCAATCCACATGGGGATTGGGCTGTTTCACTACACCCACTCCCAGACTTGCGTTACCTGCAGCTCCTGGTACAGCCTTTTCAACTCCACCGCCGCCGGGCCTGTGAGCTTGCCGTTGTAAGGCTGGAGCCCATTCAGCTTTCCCTTCTTCAGATCCTCCAGCTGCTGGCTGAGCTGATCGACTCTCAGGATGGCCGTCTGCACCTCCTGCTTCTTTTCCTGGAACATGGCGCTGAATCTCTCTATCTCAGCAGCTGCAAGTTCCCACCAAGAAAGAAAACATCACTCAGCTGACATTCTTTCTTTTGTGGTGTTTCGCTGTTTGTGTTTGGCGATGTCTTCTTCACGTCTAGACATTTAACTCAACTCCAGCATCATCTATGGCCAGACCCTGGAGAGAAGACTGTGACATGCATAATCCAAGACACATTTCAACAGTCCTTGGGACACAGGGTGTGACTGCTCATGTGGCAAACAATTATATTTCACTCATTAGTGGATATTCTTTAATCAGGGCAATCAGTCCAAAAGCAAGCTTGGCCCGGGTCAGGGGGCATGCAAGGCAACCAATCAATGTGTCTCTCTCTCTCCCCCTCCCCCCTTCCACTCTAAAAATCAATGGAAAAAATATCCTCTGGTTGGGATTAACAACAACAACAACAAAGTGAGCAGTTGTACAGTTTATCTTAATACACAGATACAATTTAAGCTGTTTAATTACAATAGACCCTCATGACGAGTTGGGTCCCAGTGCAGAGGGCAAGTGGCCATCACAAATGTCGCAGGAGGACCTTCCTACTGCACTGATGTGGCTGAGAGACCTAAAATCACTTACCCCAGCCGGCCCACCCTTTCCCACCCAGGGGACAGAGCGAAGCCTCAGTGCACATTCCACACCAGGTCTGACATGATATGTGACTAAAAGTGTGTGGAAGCTGGACTCCATTCCACTTCCCCTGTGCCTGGTGAGCAAGGGAGCGAGTGGGCCATGGTCACGTACACAGATTGCCGTTCATGATCTTGCTGTAGTCCACTTGTCCTCGCATGGCACGGATTTTCTTCAGCTTGTTTTCCTGGGCTTCAACCCGTTCTTTCAATTTCTGAAGCTTCTCGTTTTCAGAAATAGACTGCTGCTGATGGCGCTCCTGCTGCTTTAGGAAATGTAAACGCTGCTCCTGACAAAAGAGGGAAATAGCTAACGTTGAAAACGGCAGTGCACCATTTCTTTTATACACGAAAAACTGGGGTGGATTCCCCAGTATCACCTATCTTAATATGAAAGAAATGAGCAAGGAATAGAGCACATATCAGACCACACACACTGACATGACCGCACAGGAGGAAGTGGGAAGAGTCTGAGATTTTCACAAGTGGACTTTTCTCTGTACACTGATCCAGATAATTCAGCAATGCCAATGCTCCTGCAGAAAACCTCCTGCAGGAGTGGGCAAGCCTGGACTTCACAGGCACTAACTACACCATCTCATCTCATCCTGTCTGTGAAGCCCAGCCAGCTTCCTGCTGCTGCAACACAGCCTCCATGGGCCCCTTATTTAATCTAAAGGAAGTGAGCACTGACCGGCAGGGGACTTCCTACTGGAAAGGGATAAGGTGATCAGTAAGGAGATAAACCTCTAGTTTGCTAAGTGACATCCAACAGTCCAGGGAGTGTCTGTTGGCTTTAGGATTAGTGTCTTCAAAACTAAATGAAACATTTTATAGTCAAAACAAAAACAGGACAATCCTAAAGTAAAAATATATGCACTACTCTTCAGTTTCTTCTGCTATTAACATGAACACACACCTTAAAGATTCTAGTCAGCGTTCATCTTCATGGTCCCATATGTTTGCATAAAGACTGCCTGTGTGATGCAGGCATTATACTCTGCCCTCCAAAGGAAGGTGAATGAGATCAGCGTGCACTTGTGGTTCATACTCCTGAAATAGCTGAGAACTTTCCTAACAGTCATACTTTTAGATCAATGTTTGGAAAGGAAATAAAAAGCAGAATTAGAAAATATTACAATTACATAATACTATGTACATTTCATCTTAAAAATCTTATTAAATGGGATGAAATGCTTTCAGATTTATTTAACTTCTAATTGTTTTTTTATTCTTGTAAATCCAATAAACTCTGTGTGACAATTTTTAAGAACAAGTCCAGCTTAACCTATTATTTACATGAAAGTGGACAGTACAACAAGTTACATGGTCATTTGATACATGAAAAAAGTTGGACTGGACATTCAGGTATTAAGAAAATCTACGGGTTTCACTTATATGTGGAACCTAAGAAACAATAAACAAACAGAAAACAGACTAACAGACACTGAGAACAGACTGATGTTGCCAGATGAGAGGGGTTGGAGGGCTGGGTGAAAGAGGTGAAGGGATTAAGATGTACAAGCTGATAGTTACAGAAAAGACACAGGGATGTCAAATACAGCACAGGGAATAGAGTCAATAATATTGTAATAACCCAGGTGGGTACTAGACTTTTTGGGGATCAATTCATAGGTTATATAAACATCTAACTACTATGCTTGTACACCTGAAATTAATATAATATTGTTCGTCAACAGTAATTGAAAAATAAAATAAATAAATGAAAGAAACTTCCTGGACAGAGAGAGCAGTAAGAGCCAGGGCAGCAATGGCTGCAGGCTCTCTTACAGCAGCTCAGGACATTAAAGATCATCATTATATGAGCTGTTTCCAGATGGCACAGATGATAAGTCTATTTTTTATTTTTAGTCCATGACTAAACCATCGTTTAAAAATTTTTAAAATCCCACTGTTACAGTCTCAACAACACATGTAGAACTTGTATCTGTAGTGGGGGCTCACTATGAACCAAGCACGTTCCGCATGGAGTGGTGTCAGTTAGGGACGTGTCTCTGTCTTGGGGGCCCGTGACCAGCACCTTCGTCAAGGACCACGGGGTTCCTTCCGCTAGAACACTAATGCCGACTGCACCAGCAGAGAGCGGGCGCAGAGGAAAAGACGTGACAAGGAAAAACACCCTTTCTTCCCAAATTTTATCTACAATGGGGTAGGTGACCGCTTCCTGCTGTGTGTGCGTGTGCAGGTCAAGGGCCAGGCGCTCCTGCCCTGGCACCTTCCCACTTCTGGAAGCCACAGCATGTGCTCATCACCAAGGAGGAGACAATGGGAGGGACGAGGTGCTTAAGACTCTGTGGCCTGGTCCTGTTGACAAGAGTTACCCAGGAGTGTGCTAACCCAACCTGAAGGAACACCTGGAGAACAGGCTTATTGAGCGTTTCCTCACCTCTGCTTTTATAAACCTACCTTGGCGACCAACATCTGCTGCTGGTTTTCAATTTGCTGTTGCTGCCTGGCTGCCATGTCTTGGAGCTCTGAGAGGGTCAGCTCCACACGGGGATGCCCTACCTGGAGAGAAGAGAACATGCTGAAGCTGGGAGGCATTTGTCTGCATGACCGATTTCCCTGGTGCTGGAAACACATCAGGGAAGTCAGGAGAGTACAAATTAGTCTGTTTTCTCATAAGAACCTTCTTAATTGTTGAGTGCTTTTATTAAATATAGAATGGTCTCTAAAAACTAAATATAAAGGATTATAAAATACAAATACCTCATTTAGAACACATATATATGGCCTCCACCAAGGACTGACAAGTTAGTGACAAATTTAATAATGGGAAATGAATACAAGAAGGTAATACCGCCCAGCCCAGCGTGGCTCAGAGGTTGAGCATTGACCTAGGATCCACGAGATCGCAGTTCGATTCCCGGTCAGGGCACATGCCCGGGTTTCGGGCTTGATCCCCAGTCGGGGGGCGTGCAGGAGGCAGCTGATCAATGACTCTCTCTCATCATTGATGTTTCCCTCTCTCTCTTTCCCTTCCTCTCTCTGAAATCAATAAAGATATTAAGAAAAAAAGAAGGTAGCACGGAGAGAAGTGGTCACTAATGGGATCTGAAAGCATGTTCCCATTCTCTGTTAATGAAAATAATAAACTCAAGCATTTTTACAGGGCTTACCTTGTGCTTTCAACTGAACTGTGCATTTGCCATTTATGAACTCGTTTAAGCCTCACATGACACTATCAGGTAGGTACTACTATATCCCCACTCTACGGATGAAAAAACAGGCACAGAAGTTCAGATAACCAGCCAAGGTCAGATGACTCCCACGTCAGAGCAGGATGCAGTCCTTGTTCTGGATGGCGAGGTATAGCACACTCCTGTGCATGCACTGCTGTGCCAGACAGGAAGGGACGCGTGGAGGGCCCGGAGCTGAACAAAGGAGTGGGCTCTGATTCTGGCCAGGCCTGCGTTCCCCAACCCCTCTGCACTGCTAACCACGCAGGCACACCACCCTGCCTCAGCTCTCCACTTTCTACTTCTGAGCCCACCTGTGAGCACAGATGCACCCCATTGTATTCCTAACAGAGCTCCCAGCCCTGTCCTCTGGCTCCAGTCTCCCCCAGCCTTAGTGTTCAAGCACGTTCCTGACTCTTGGACAATGGCATCAGGATTTGTTCAGTCATAGCTGGAACCCCCGTTCTGCTTGTCTAAGATCCTGAGCAAGCAAAATGGATCAAGTCCCTTTTCAAAACTAGATACTATAAAGAGCCAAGTTTACAATATCTAGTAAACTTCTATTTGAAAATAAATTTGTTTATTCTACCAAAAAATGCCTGCCAAAGTCATCAAAAATTCCTGAAATTTCTGCTTTAACACTAATAAACAGTTGCTAATTTCTACCTACTGAGATGTTCCAATCACAACGAAAGGTATTTTTGGAAACCTTCAGAACTTTTACTCCTTAAAAACTATGTCCATTCAACAAATCTTTCCACTTACATTAATTTCATAACTTAAAGAAAAAACAAATAAAAAACAATCTCTTTTGTCTCCTCTCCCCACCAGTGGCTTAGAATAACTATGTAAAGAGGCCAGAAGAATCCAGCTGTTCAGTGTTGATAGTCACACCTGTGAATGAGACAGAGCCCCGCATGTGCTGTGTTGTCTGAATATCTCTAACTACAAAACTAAGATGTACTAGGCTGTCATAAGTAGTGCAGGTATTATATCTTATGTACATAATAAAAATTTTATTGGAAGTAGATCTGACATACAGAAAACTATAAATCACAGTGCAGAGAGTTCAATGAAATATTTCAAAGTAACACACCTGTGTAATTTAACTGTGTATGTTTTTTAAAAAGTGTTTCATTTTTTATAGTTCTTTTTTTAAAAAAAGGTTTTTTTATTGATTTCAGAGAGAGGAAGGGAGAGGGAGAGAGAGAAATATCAATGATGAGAGTCACTGGTCAGCTGCCTCCTGCACACCCCCTACTGAGGATCAAGCCAGCAACCAGAGCATCTGCCCTGACCCGGAATCCAACTGTGACCTCCTGGTTCATGGGTCGACGCTCAACCACTGAGCCACACCGGCTGGGCTGTGTTTTAAGTGGGTTATAAAAACACAAGCCACCATAAACTAGTAAGTCAACAAATATGCAACACTTTACATTTTAGTACATATTCCTTCCTTTAATTGTTCAATGTAAAAATTTACCAAAAAGAAGCACCTTCTCAGAGTTTAAGAAAACAAAAACCTTTGATGTAAATCCGATGCTTTTGTGATGGGCCTATCACAGAAACTAGGCCCCATATCTTCAATTTTAAATTCTCAACATGAACCCAACTTACTCACACAAACCTATGACCTAGTTTGCTCACCTATTTCTTTTCACTGTATCTAACAGGAAGAAGTAAAATCCTGTTCCCTCGGAAACACTGAGTCCCTCATTACAGGAGAGTGACCTGGTGAGTTTGAGTCCAGGTCCCACGGAGGACAAGCTACTCCCAGGGCCAGTAAATTAGTAGAAAAGTTCTCCTGGTGACAGCCGGCAGCCTTTTCCGAACACGGGCTCAGAGAAGAGGAAATATCATGCCAGCCCTCCTCGGGCTCCAGCATCCTGCCCGCAGGGCTCAGGGTCCCCCCTCAGGCCAGCGTTCTAGAACCCTAGGTCCCAGGGAGAGGACTGATGCTCTCCAGCCTCACTCTGATAGCACCCATTTTCCAGGATGAACACAGTCCACTCAACTCTAGGTCTAACTAACTCCCCTTACTCCAGAGCACAGAATCGCCTCCCATAATCACTTATCTGGTCAAACTGTCCCCTTCTTTCTCCAAACTTCCACCAATCTACTTGTGGAAATGCAAAGAGACTTTATTCCTCTCACAACATTTTTACATACAAAATACTAACCTGACAGAAACCACATCAGGAGACTTCCAGACTCTCCACAGGCCCTAGCTCATTGGGCACCCACAGCACCTGGCCCTTTGCCGGGTGACAGCCTCCAATCAATGATCAATGATCAATGTTTGTTGAATGGATTTACAAGTGACCCAATACTTCCTTATCCTTCCGCATGCCCGGATCACTCCAATGTGGGTAGCCTCTTTTTAAACTCAGCCACCACCCCAACTGAGAAACAGGACATTTCCATCATCCCAGAAAGTGTCCCACTGTGCTCCCCCCAACCACTGATCCGTGGGGGTTGTTGCTCTGCCATGATGGCCCAGCTCCATTTTCTCTGGATTCCATGTTGACGGGGCCCTAGGGTGTGCTCTTTGTGTTCAGCTTCTTTCACGTGCCACGGCGTTTTAGAGGTTTGCCCATGTTGTTCCACACACAATATTCCTTCCTACACGCAGAGCAACACTCAGGTGTGTGGACAGCCCACATTTTGTTTATCCATTCATCTGCTCAGGACATCTGGGCTGTTTCCACTCTTTGGTATGACGAATAAAGCATCTTGAACATCCACGCACCAGGATTCATGTGGGCGAGTGTCTGGTTTCTTCTGGGTGACCCGTGTTAGGAAGTGGAGCAGGCGGGTTGTGTGATGGGCGTACAGAGCCTGCCAGACTGTGTTCCAAGGTGAAGGTCACTTCACACTCCCACGAGCAACCCGACAGTCCTGGCTAATCCACATATTGCCAACACCTGTTCAAATTTAATTATTCTCTTTTTAAGTAAAATGTTAAGCTATTGGCAAAGAGAGGATTCCATGTAAATCGTATTTCGATAACGAAAAAAACACAAAATGTCCATAAGTAAGCTATCAACTTCAAACATACCATGATTAGATTTTCAATAAATAAGCTACACCCATGACTTGCTGAAAGTTAGATATGGACAGGAGGCCTGTTCCCAGGTTAGTGTCTCATTTGTACTAATTATGTGTGTGAATCATGAGTCATAGAGCCAACAAAATAAAGCATGTTTGAAAAACAGGTGATAAGAACTAGATTTTTTTGAGGTACTAAGAAACACCTCACTTGATAATTAGGGTCGAAAACTTCAGATCACAAGCCAGTTGGTGACACGGCCTTAATCAAATGTATTTTTGTCTCCTCGGGTAATGTTTTAAATATAATCTGAAACTGGTGGTACAGCATTTTAGCTATTAAACAACAGTCTCTCAGAACAACCCACAGTAGACAATTATGCAGCATACACACACGTCTCCCACCCTAAGCCACTAGTGATCTGCTTGTAGCATTTTTAGTCTTTCCCAATATTAGTAAGAAGACTTAGTTTTACATCCCATCCAATGTGCTACTGAAGCATTCTGCCAATATGCATCCAATGTGTTTCTCCGGCACGTTCCAAAAACTAACCAAGACTGCGACCTGCCTCATCACCCAGCACAGCATTGGCTCAGTCACACTTCTCCACAACCACGGTTCTTGAAGAATTATGCCGTTTTCCAGAAAATGTTGTTTTTGGTATAAGGACCCATCCAAAAGCACACTGGTTAATGCTCTGTAAGAAGTGATACTTTGACATCACTGTTACAGGACAATCAACAGTCACCCATTCACACAACCCAACCGCTCCTCCTCGGAACAGGATGTGGCACGGCTCTGAGGTACACACCATGCCTGAGCGACAATGGTGTGCTGTGAGCACACACCCAGCAGCAAGGAGGAGGGATGTCCTCTGCGGCCCTCTGGTCTACTGTGAACCTGGGCCACTTCTGCCTCTTTTGAGGTGCTCTCTTTAGCCTGTCACCCTAAAGAAGCATTCCTATCCTATAACTTTGAGTGCAAGCTCCCTAAAAGCTGAAAAATTGGTGAATGATGGCAAAGCAAAACCTTATGTTTCGAGGTCATCCTAAAGACGCCTCTATTGCACCTCCCCCAGCCCCCACATCTACTGTGAGCCTCCTGTTCCTCCCTCGGCAAAGTAGAACAAGCATTCACTACATAACATGCTAACTTCCAGCCTATTTACATGTGTTCATTACTTACACCTGCATGTCTTCATTAATTCATATATCTGTAAAAATGACTTGGGAGTCAACAGCCCACCTTTACTTATTTCACAGGCCATGAACGAATATTAGTCTCTACTGCTGAGAGACCGTGTCGGAACTCTGTAGCTTCAAACAACAGTAAACATTCTGGCTCAGATTCTGTGGGTGGAAGGATTTGGGAGCAGCTCAGCTGGGAGGTTTCAGCTTGAGATATCTCACAGGGTTCTGTCCAACATCAGCCCAGGCTGTGGTCATCTGAGTCTTGACGGGGTGATGGATCTGCTCCACGATGGCTCACTCACAGGGCCACCCAGCTGCTGGAGGGAGGCCTCGGCTTCTCCCCGTGTGCCTCTTCACAGTGCCTGCTTAAGTGTCCTCATTGAGTGGGGGCTGGTTTTCCCAGAGCAAACCA